TGCAGCATTGAGCAAAATCCCTGCGGACTGTAAACAAACATGACAAACTGCTCCTCCCTGCAGCATCTTCATGCAACGGGAAGAGGAAAGTCCAGGCTGGATTGAGGCTGCATCTTCATGCAGCATTGAGCAAAATCCCTGCGGACTGTAAACAAAAATTACAAAACTGCTCCTCCCTGCAGCATCTTCATGCAACATCTGGAGGCACACAAAACTCGTCTTGTACAAACAAATGCTTGAGGGCTTAAACGGTACGTTCGACAAGCAACTAGAAGCTGCATCATCACACAGCTCTGATGTCTCGTCTGCATCCAACATGCTGCATCTTCATGCGGCATGTGCCCTGGAGGTTCCCAGGTGTTACGTCTTCACACCAAGAACACAACCTCCCAATCCTCTGTGCTCAGCTGATGACGCAGCAAGGAGCCATGGGCTGAAGCATCCAAGGACTATTGAGAGCTTCTTCGGCATCACAGCGATCGCACTCAGGAGCGAGCATGTGTTTGGCGAGCTCTAAGGCCGGGATTGACTCCTCCTGCAGGAAGAACCAACGGCATGAAATGTGACAGGCCTCTCATGGCATCTGATTCCTTATCAACTAGGTGACGAGTCTAAACACTGAGTCACATCATCATGCCCGATGTAAAACCCTTGGGCCCTTGAAATGAATGACCATTCCTGCTTCCACGTCTTCTTGTCCAGAAGCTTCTCTGCATCCTGCAGCATCTTGGGAGTTGGATTTTCTCCAGGTTGGACGTAGTAAGCCCCACAAACCAGACCGACAAAAAGCACTCCTTGGACTTGATACTGTGGCTACCAAAATCATTAATTCCATCCGTCACTGTATGCCCCTGTACCAAGCATACTAGGCTATGTTTGGTAATTATACAGTATACACCATTTTTGACAGCTTTAGCTCAGCCGGGGTCAAAACCATTCATCCAATACGCCAAGTCTCCGGTGCTGTACAGATCACATTTCTCTGTATAAAGATTGCCCTGGTCCACCTCTGGCGCCATGAATGGGCGTGTGCCAGCCCGACCCGACATCGCAAAGCCTTGTGGAATCTCGCACGCCAGGTTGAAGTCGGCCAACTTCCATTGGTGTCCTCTGGACTAGTAGGTTGGAGGCCATCGCTCTTGGGGTTGGAGGCCATCGCTAGTAGGTTACCTTAAAGTCTGTTTCTTAAAGTCTTTTTCTTAAAGTGTCTGGATGTGTTGTCCTCTGGACTGAAGCACATTGTCGGGCTTGATGTCTCGGTGTGCCACCTGGTTCTCATGGAGGAAGCTTACAGCGGACAGAAGCTGCTGCAGAGCATTCCAAATCTCCCAGGTGCTGGGTTTGAGATAGCATTTCATCCCTCCAAGTTTCTCAACTTTGTCAGCCATGTACTCTGTCATGCTACCCTTCGTACAAAGCTCCAGCATCATGTCCATGATGCCCTGCTCCTGAAACACATCGTAAAGGCGGACGATGTTCTTGTGCTTCATGCGGCTCAGCAATCGCACCTCAATGTCCTGCCAAGCGCTCTGGTCAAGAAGGACTTGCCTTGGCAGGATCATCAAGACAGACTTGCGTAACAAACTCTAAACTCTACGCAAAGAAACAAAAAACTTTGAAAAAATAAAACTAAAATAGCTGTTTCTTGAGAGATAGATATGATAGGTGTGGGAGGAAGGTGACCGATTTGATCTGGTGTTCAAAGCGCTTTTTCCAAAACACTGCATGTCAACATAACAGCCATTCATGATCTAGGAACTTCGACTCTTTAATATGTACTCAATTTCTTAAAGAATGGAACCATAATTAGTCTCATTCCAAAATATGTTCATGACAAAAGCAGAACTCGGGCAGGAGGGGGGGCTACCTTTGGTGAACAACTCGTCAACCAATCCATAGATCGGATTCTCATCGTTATTCTGTTTGGTTTTGGCCGAGGCACTTCCATGCAAAGCGTTCTTTCGTGACCTTGTGCTGCACTTCGCTCACTTGCCCAAACTTCCCACGTCCCAAACCCCGGATCACCGTGTATTTGTCTGCCACCTGGATGGTCGGGTGCGAGGGTTTGGGCAACAAATCAGCTCTCTCCAGTCAGAAAGACACCAAACAATTGGGGACAATGTTGATTGAGATGACACACCAATCTTGTCATCCTTGGGTTTGAGGCCCTGCCTCCTTGGACATGGTGGATTGTTTGGAATCGCTTCTGGGATCCCGCTGTGGCACTGGGCAAGGCATTGTGACGAAATCGTAATGCAAGCGTAGCACTCTTTGCGTGTTGGACCCTTGGGCCGTTCGCGGCTGCAGAAAAAGAAGTCAGGAAGTTTCAGCGAGCTGCAAACGTGCGAGAAGGATCAGTTCCAAGACCCGTGCTTGGTGCTTAGCCATTCATGGCAGTCGATGGCGTCACCAAAGCAGATTCACAGGATGCCGGATTCTACGCCGCTTTGTTCAAGATATTTCAACATGTTCTGAATCTCAGGATCTTGAATGAAACAGAAGCAACTGTACCCTGGCTCAACAATCATGCAACAGAAGAGGGGGTGCACAGTACAAAGACGGTCCAAGATGTCTTTCAGCCGAATTCATTCTCCACCTTCAAGTAAATGTGCAATACTGTTGGGAGTTCAGGAGATGGAGTTGCGCTTAACATGGATGGAACCCACTCCCTCTTCCCCGTCACCTCTACTCGTCGGCCAGGAATCATGGCCTGAAACAGGTGGCCCATATAAGCTGAAGCACAAGTAGCAGTGGAAACGGTGATGGTGACATTCTCTCGATCAAACTTGAAGGTACTGTAAGGTGCGTAATGCCGAGAAATAACAATGGCTGAAACCACAATGGTTGGTTCACAAAATGCGTCTGGCTGCAGCTCCAAACCTCTATCTTGGTGGTTCTAAATATTGCATTGAACGATGCAGGTACAAATCCATCCACATATACATAAGTAAAAACTATTAAAAACTCAGGTCTTTCTGAGCTGCCGGACATTGAGCGCAGCGCTATCACCTCCACGCATGTTCTGGCCAATGATCTCAGCACCAGCCTGGCGATCAATCGAGGTCCTCCGCTTAGCCTTACTTCATCTTACTTCAGTCGAGACATGAGACGTCTGCCAAAGCTTGGCCTCTCAAGTTCTAGCCGAACGGGACATGCTCGAGGCACCTCTCCAAATCCCAAAGCCAAGAGGGATCCGATCTTGATGATGGTCCTTGGGTGATAGAACGTATTAGAATAAGGCCATATGGCAACATGGACACTGCTCAATTTCAAGTCAAGTTTTCCCGATGTTACTTCAAAGAAAGATTTAGATCCGCCAAAAACATGGTCTCTACCTTCGCATCGGACACACTGAGATGCCGCACTTTTCCAGCACAACCGTCTCCATAGGCTCAGGAATCTGCTTTGGCGCAGAGCTTCTTCTCCTGTGCAATGAACGTTGTGAGGTATTGGTCGAACGAGTCATACGCCTGGACCACATTGCTTGTGGCGTGGAAGCCAACAGAACTATGCTCTGCACACCCTCAGCTCGACTCGACGGTCACTGCGAGACCTCTCAACAACGACATGTCGCCTTTGCATACAGCTAAGTCCTTGCATTCTGCCTCTTTTCAATGTGAGGCCCATGAGATTCGCATGGTTTCCTAAATACTGCGCTTCTCAAAGTTACACCAAAGATGTCCATCTCCTTTCCACCACCCCCCATGCCGCGCCTAATGCATTTCAGAGTGGCAGAGCAACACCTGGAAGCGCGGGGTATGGGCTCCGGCGTCAAACCCGGAAGCAAAGGGGCTGAGGTCTCACCTCCAAATAGGCTACAAACACAACCAAGCCAAACCGTGTCCAGAACGGAGTCCTTACTGTCAGGCATGTCACGCCTCTCCCTTGGGAGGCTCTGAGGGGCCACGGGTGACTTGTTCATTGGCTGAATGGCCAAACCTAGAGTGGCTTGTAGTATTTGGGCGATCCCTACAAGTGGGCCATATTGTGCTCAGCCAGGAAAAAACATCTTGAAGAGTCCTTGTTCTGCAGGCAACGCCTGCCACATGCCTCTTTAATTGAAGATTCCTGGTAAAGAATTAACATTCTTGGCTTGGCAAGACATCCACCACCGGTACCACTGCCGCCCCCCCCCGCCAGGCCGCACAGAGGCCCCCCGACCGACTGCAGCAACCCCGCTTGGCGGCGCTCTCCTCGGAGAGCCGGTCGAATCGAAGGGAAGAGAAACAGCCCTTCAATTGAGACGTGTTTGGATGGTCATTTGGATGCTGTTTGGATGGATGTGGGTGACATCAGCTGTGCTGACTTGAGCCTGTCACCTCGAATGTGGATCTTGCTAAGGGCAGTGTGTTTCAGATCGGGTTGCACGGCTTTCAGCTCTATAGGACTCCGATCTTGCGCATTGAAAAGACCAATCGTGTCGAACATGTGTCACATCTGGATCTGCTGCTTGGTGCGCTGCCGGATCGTTGGGCTCCCTTTGTTGGCCCCGCTTGATTGCTCTCACCTCAATGGCTACTCTGTAGACCCAAGAATAGAGATCCTGAAAAAATGGCACACAGTGGCAATGTGTGCGTCACACATCAGTGCCTGCTCTCTGTGATGCTCCTCATCACCTGGAAATTAAAGAACATGCAGAGGATCTGTGAGCTTTTGTACTGTCCTCATCTATAACTGCTAGTGTGGTATTCTCCTACCATGGTCAGAATTAACAGTAGGGCAGCACACCCTAGCTTCTCGGATGTCTCTCCCTACAAACTCCTACAAACGAAAGCTTATCGACGCAAAGCTCGCCAAGCTCATGCAAGCAACATCAATGCTCCCCTCCGGCCTATGGTCATTGCTTCGAGCGGGTTGTTCCGGATCTTATCCAGCTTGGAGATCATTCGCTCAATCGGTGTGAGAACTAACCTGCTCGCTTTAAAGACTGCCCCAAGCCCGAGTTAGCAGCCTTGGCCTCCCTGGTTGCTCTCCTTACAAATTGTCCTTTTTTTACCTCAACGAGAACTCTACACAATTGCCTGGTCAGCTCTAAAATTCCAAGCAATCGAGTCGAATTGAGTCCAACGCCATCAGGCCTATTGGCATCTTGTGAGAAGGTCATCGCCCCGAAGCCCAGCAGGAAACAAATGAAAATGGTCTGCGCCTTGGATTTGAATTTGGCAAGACCAGGGCTGCGATGGCAGCCAAGGTGCCAGGCGGCCCATCTACTTGCAAACTGGTTGCTTTCGTTTTTAAAAACAAGTTGGACCAGGACACGTCTTCTCCAAAACGCCAGGTTTTGAATTCCAAAACGCCAACGGTCGACTGGCTGTCTGTAGCTAAAGAAGATCAACTGGGCGCCATCTATGGGCATCTATGGCCCAGGCCGTGTTCAAGATCGCTTCTAGTCGGGCTCCAGACCTGATGGGACCAACGGCAAAGCTGAATTTACCTACGGAAGGTCGGCATCCGATAGCTACTACTGAGTTACTATTGCGGCTTGTTCGGTCAAGTCCATGGATTACTTAGAGACTTAGAGTAGCTTGTCATTTTAGCTTTAAAAAGAACTACGAGAAACTGACTGGTCAAAAGGGATCAGAAAGACCACGACTGTCACGATTTGTTTTGCGCCCGAAAAGATTCCGCCTGCGGTCAAAGACGAAAATGAAGTGGATCTCTTCGTACTCTGCCGAGGTGGCGGCCTGGTTGCAACGCCACGGGTGGTTGGACGGAAAGTGAGGTCATGTGAGGTCCAAGCAGTCGGAACGATCACGGTGCGTTCATTGTAGCGAAGCTTTTCAGGACAATCCTCAGCGCAAGCATGCGCGGGCTTGTTGAAGCTGGGAAGAGTAAGCAGGATCTAATTTGGGAAAGAAAGCCATCACATGCCATCACCCAGTCTCCCTCATATTTGCTTTCAAAACATGTTTTCAACTTAACAACAAAGGCCCCGGCCAAGTTGGCATCAATCGCTGCCAGGAGGGAAACACCCCGCGCGGCTCCGCCAACGCAGCTCCTAAGAGGCTGACCAATGAGGTGATATCAATAAGGCTTCGTGCAGGGGCTTAGCAATTGCCTGATTGCGTGGTTGAACGATCAACAAATCTGGTGTTCCAAGACAGCTGTGCGATCAGATGCATCTCTGAACTGAGCCCATCGCGTGGTGTTCGGATATGGAACGAACAAAAGAGCCTCTGGGTCCGAGGTCAGGTTGCCTGGCAGTGAATAGCCTACCACTATCCCTAAAGTTGTGAAAGGCTTCATGGTGCACGCTTCGGAAAGATGGAGCAAACCGACCGGGTCAGCGTCCGACTGCCAAGATGTGTTGGAATCCGAACCCACCACGAGGTGCTGTCGCCATCGAAGACGAAACAAGTCACAGCAAAACATGCAGTCAGCCTACCTTGATAGTACAACCAATCTGTGCCCGCAAAGCGAGCGTTCCTGGCCGCGTGGGTCATGTCGTCAAAATCAGATGCGGCACAAGTGCCATCGAATTTGACCCCCAATTGAAATGGCATCGCCCAAACGCAGCCAGGTTGCGGATCATAACTTCCTGTACCTCCAAAGCAGGCGCTTGGCGCTCCGCTCGCAAGTCGAGAGTGAGGCCAAGCTTTCGCATCAATGGTCCCAAGGTGCAAAGCAATTAGAAGACCCAAATAGCCCCAACTCGCCCAACATCGTCGTGCCTCTTCCCTCGAAGGAAGGTAAGAAGAACTGTCCCAAGGTCTCGTTGTCCCTGAGAGGCAAACGACGTGCGCAAAGCTCTCCTGGACTCCTCCCCTTGCTTTAAGATGCTTTAAGACCATGAAACTTATGTGGCTGGCCAGTGGCTTGAAAGCGATTGACTAAGTACTCAAGCATTGTGGGATCTGAAATGTTGAACTTCTACCACCAGCCAAGGCATGCACTCCCACCTTCTTAGACCACAAAAGTCAAACAGTCAAACAGTCAAACAGCTTCGACCTGCGGGAAAGAAAAGAAAATCGGGCGGCCGCACGGATGGACGCCGGCGAAGAACAAGCTGTTGAAGCTGCTCAAAGGAGAACTAACTGCCGTTGAAGGCTTTAGGTCCTGGTCCACACAGCTTTGCACTCTCGATTGGTCAATAGGTGTATAGTGTGTTTTTGGTATGAGAAAGGGGGTGAGCTGAGAGCTGGTAAGAATGTCAAAAGTAAAGACTTCCCCTCCAGCAAGCAGTCCTCTTGTGTGAATGGACTGTGGTAGTAAGAATACAGGAAAAAGTCATCCACGTAGACCTCTCTGCCTTTGGAGCTCATATAAGCGGCTTGTGCTGTGTCATTCGCGTAGGGCTCGTAAAGACTCATGTCATCCCGCCATCTTCGGTAGAGGACGTTCACGCCATACTGAGCTGAGGTAGACAAATCATCGTTGTACATTCCAGGCTGGAAGAATGGCAGGGACAGCATGATGACTAAGACCAGCATGACGACCTCAGTGTGGTTCATGCTGAGGACTTGAATTGTAGCATGCTTTGCCATTCCAATGTGAAGACCAGGTGTCCCAGGTGTTAGAAACCATCCATGTGGTACAGTTGCACCACATCACTAAGCTTTTCTTAGCTTTTCTTCATCCAAGCTCTCGCTTCGTCTCTGGGTGTCCGACTCTACGAGTGGTCATCTCGGAAAGCTTTTTGGAGACGGCCGATTCCTTTTGCATATCGTCATCATCCTCCTGCGACAAGCGAGGATGGACTACGATTCAAAAGAACCATGCGCCAAACGGAGTGAGCAGACTCAAAGCTGCTTTAATTAAATACACCCCTCCACACACCGCACCCGGCTCTCCTCCCAATCCATTCCAGGGGTGGCCTCCAGAAGCTATCACATCGAAAAGTTGTGCGAAGTTGCCAAAATTCCAAGGAGTGAAACGATTCAACAGTTTGTTGAGATGCAGTTGTTGGCTAAAGCATGCTAAAGCGTGTCCTGTTCACCTGGATGAGTCAGTTTCCTCTTCTGGTCGACTCTACAAGATTTCTCTTCAACACTTGCACTTCTGCATTCGGCCTCGACAGACTCCCCAGCTTGGTACTTGGGAGACGAGGTGTTCTTCTGGTAGAACTTCACCAGTCGAATTAGCCTTACCAACCGCAGAAGTCGAACTACTCGACCAGCCTGAGCAAGGTCAGCCGAGCATGCGAGCTGCACCGCGTGGGTTTTTTACACCCAACGCCCAAAAAACCCCCCAGCTTGCTTTGGACCAGGTTTCTGACAGAGATTGCTTGTTAAAGAGCCCCTGTTCCGTCGTCCTTTGGTTGCCTCAAATATCCTAAAATCAAGTCAGTGACGATTCGAGCAGGCAGGCCTTGGTGCCCACTCGGCTCATCCTAGCTGCTCGAGCCGCATCAGCGGATTGGCTGCTACTTTGATCGACTGGACCCTGCACCACTGGCCCAGCGCTCGCCTTGGCTTCGAGGTGTCATGGAGTACCAGTTGAACACGAGACATGTATGAGAAGCAATGAAGCTGCAAGGTCCGTGCAATTGTGCTCGGAAAGACCCTACAAGACCAAATTTAAAGCACTTTGAGGAAGTACGGATCAGTGTTGTGTTCCAGGCGCAAATCTCTTTTCTTCACACAAATGCAACTGTTTATATAAACAATAAGCTACTAGTAACAAGTGCATCGCTACTAGTAACAAGTGCCTTACTAGTAGTAACAAGAAGCTAGTAGAAACAATAAGAAGCTATAGACTGTTTATATTCGATGCGTGTTCCATGGGAAATTTCGATGTGAGAGACCAGACCTCTCTTTCACTAAGCTTCCCGACGCCTGCCAGCGCCTGTGCTGAAGAGATGGAATCTCCAAAAAGAGCCTCTGAGACCTGTGGAGAACTCGCTGTGATCGATGAATCTCGGGGACAGGTCCTTCAAGTCGTTCAAAAAGAACCATTTTTTCAGAAACGAGGGATGGCACGCCGTTTTGATGCACAGGTTTTGTCAGAATCGAGAATCCCTTTCTCCAACCACGGATGGCCTGTCACAGCGAGATGGACAGGGGAGAACTTCAATGGTTTGTCACTTTAGAACCGTCAAAACCCACATAGCCAGCATTGCTTGCTTTCGTGCCAGCTAGGTTTTGGAGGTTTTGGTTGTTGTTCTGGATAACGGGGGTTTTGAAACCAGTGTTTTCTTGTCATTGAATGATTTTGAATGTTTCTTTGTACAGCAACATCTTTCAAATATCTATCGCTTTAAACAAAGGCCACACATCAACATGGTGCTGGTACAAAGTGAGTTCTTGCCATCCTTCCATTTTGGGTCAAACCAATGATGGCCGTATTCCTCTCCCCATCCACTGGATGCATTCTTCCTTTGATCCCACGACACGGCGTTACCTTGCGTCTGTTGCGCAGAAAAATTACATAAACTGATCAACTCACTTGCCCGTTAAAGCCACTTACCAAGCAACTCACTTTCAGGGGAACGTTCATGGGAGAGACCCAAGATGCAGAACCACGGGTTCTGTGCGTTCCTTCCGAAAAGTTGCACGGAAAGCAATCGGTGGTCACAAAACAAAGAGAGATGTGGAGCAGTTGCGATTTCTGTGGGTTTCAGCAAGACGCCTACAAATTATATATTAATATATATATATATACAGTATATTATATATATATCTTATCACGCAGCAAAAGCATGCAGCATGACGTGTAACAAGCTTAGCTGCCTCGAAGAACCAGAATTGTCAAAACGCGGTGAGATGGTTGTCTGAACTGGAAAGGTTGACAATGTCCGGTGAGAGGTCGGGGAGAGAAAGGGAGAGAGGAATGGACAAAGATATGAGGTCAAGTTGATCAAGCTTCTAGGTGAGGAGTCAATGAGGTAAAAGAAACCCTCTGCAAGTAAGTTCACAAGTGCAAGGTCCCTCATGCACAAGAGAGCTGCTGTTCTGCCCTCAAAGGCTTGCTCTGGGCTCTCGGCATAGGTGAGGTCCAAAATCAAGGTTATAGTGGAACCAAAATCCAGTAGAAAGAAGAAGCCGCAAAGGTATCCTTGCTTTCCTCAGGTACACCCGAATCCATCAGAGATGAATGCTCGCACTCTTTTCCTCAAGCACTAGTGGTTTAGGCGAATGAACAAAACACTGAAGCCAAGTCTCCGAATGTATTGATGATCACTTCTAGCCCGAAGACCACCATCGTCACAGTTGTGATGATGTTGAAAGTATCATCAGCTGCTTTCTCAGAGAAGATCAGCCGCATGTCATCTCCAATGAGGGCATAGATGGTCAGAAGCGTTGTGACCTCGGATCAAAAAACTCTCGACTTCATGCTCATTGGGTTGCCATCAAGTCACAAGTTGACTCACTGTGGGCGACCCAAGGGAACAACTTGTGGACTTGTGGATAAACAGCATGTAGTGACTACACTCCACACGATTAGGACAATATGCAAGATCTCCGTTTTCTTGAGGCGCCAGCTAGTGAAAGAATGGAATTCGCTGCAAGTCGTTCACAAAACCAAGTAAAAGTAGTGCATCTCCTGCGCTGTCAAACAGGCTTCGAATCCAAAAAGGCTGAAATAGTTCCGAGAACTGGGGCTCTTTCAGCTGTGGTGAACCTCATCACAAATGTGTGTAATGGCTGAGTATGTGGCGCTCTGGAGAGGGAAGACACCAGTCGCCTTCTGGTTTCTGCTCAAGATTCTGTCACACTGTCACAATTATCGTTGCATTCTTCCTGCAATTGATCCTGGTGAGTTGGCAGCGTTTACTGGTATGTGCGATGACTTTTGCACCCGGTCTCCTGGGTTTGGCTTGGCCAAACCAATTTTCTAAGTTATCAAATGGAGAGTCCTTGCCCAACCTCAGAAGACCAGTCACTATCAGTCTTCACTCGTCATCTCAGTCATTCTGAACGCCATGGTTCTTGTGGTTGTGGGCCACAAACGCCATAGTGGTTGTTGCATCAAAAGTACCACCAATCAGAGAGCAAAAGGAACATGTTTGGAGAAACTGGGAGCAACGAAATCTCTGTCTATTGAGATCTGGTCACAGGTTTGCGGTGAAGCTTGGTGGCTGTGGTTTGTTGTCAGAGCAAGTGCCTGGCCATCGGATCACATTGATCCCTTACAACCTTACAGGCCACTAATCAGCCGCCAAAGACTTGATCAAATATCCTTTCGTCATGTTCCACAAAGGTCTTACTTCCAAGCACTCCTGGCCTTTACACTTATCCAAACCAGCGTAGACCCGAGAAGTCAATCCCCTCAAGATGAGAACCGACTTCTGCATGGGTTCCTCAGACCCTTCAGTTCCATGTTTCAGCATGCCAAGCTGCTCATTTCCACGGCCAGCAGTCCCATCGCTGCCCTCTGAGCCATTCTCTGCGATCCGTTTCATGGATCCTCGCGCCGTTCGGCGCATCTTCGACACGTTCGACGCGAAAGGAGTTCCCCACGTTCGACGCATCGAGTCGGAGCTGAGGGAGCTGAGTCGGAGCTGATGTCCGCACGTCATGTCCGCACGTCTTGGTCCATGTGGATGTCCTAATGCTTCACGCGCCTTTTCCAAAGCTCTGTTTGGGGATGTCATTGTTGTTGGTCCACAAAAGGGGAGACAGCATTCTCTTGGCGGTGTGCTGGTGGGGCAGAAGAAAAGGATCGAGCAACCCATGGTTCATGTTTTAGATAAGGACATGTAACAAAGAACTGATGCTTCTTGTTGTACTTGCCATGTGACGAATGTCTGCGGATTTGATACTGCCATATCTGGACCATTGTTTTTCGATGTGCATAAAGATCCTCAAACGTGGCACATCTTGTTCAGCTGCGCTAGCCGAGGTCAGCACTTGGCCCCCAGACAGATCAGAGCATCATTCGGCCGGTGTAGACTACACCCTTAGAAACTGCTGACCAAGCTGGTCCTGGCCCTTTTTTCTTTGCGCAGTAGACTGATGAGAATATGTCTCTAGATGGACAGGTCTCGTACCTTGTACTGGTCTGGTCGGGCATCCGTGGCATCTTTTGTCTGGACTTCTGATGGTACAAGCAGCACTGCTGTGTCTGAGTGGTTCCACCTGTGTCTGTGCCTCCTTGAGCCACACGGGTGAGCGCAGTCCTAAACCTCGTGGGAGTCTTCGTGGGACTCTGAACTCCTTCGGTTGGAATCTCCGTGTAGGCTTACAGCAATCGCGGCCCAAAAAGTGGCAAGTTCAGGAAAGTTCTTGAGACAATCCAACCTAATAGCAATTCTTCCAGAAGAAAAGGCCATGGAAAAGCAGCGAGTGTTCCACCAATTTGCCCTCCGTGCCTTTCAATCTCAGTCATCCCAGCTGGTGTCCTGGTGCCGTCGAGTCTCATTCAAAAGCTCAAAACTCACTCCACACTCAAGGGATTGACCAGGTGACCTCTATAAATAGATATAAATGCAGTAGATTCTTGTTGCATACTTTTGCCCCAAAGAGTATTGGAAAATGGCACTTGAGCCAAACCGTCCATCCCTCTACAAAAGATCCGCGTTTGCTCCTCTTCAGGCGCAAATCTTCGGCCCAGCCCCTCCCATCTGCTCTAGCCCGGCTCGGTCCGGCAAGGGCTGCGAAGGAATTTGGAGCGAAACACGGAAGAGTCGGACCGCACGGTCGGAGCGAACGGTCCACAACGAAAGGACCGAACAGTCGGACTGATTAGACCACCAATCACCACTGGTGCCAACAAAAGTCGTACGTAAAACGCCCGGGGGCTTCTCGAACTGCTACAAAGCTGAAGCTACGTGGCTACACATGTGTTGATTCTAAAGTAAAGCTGCTCTATGAAGCTGCGCTCAATCTTCTCAATGAGCGGTTTTTCTTTTTGCACATGTTGCGGCGAATCTATCATGTTCAGTGCACCGAGAGACAAGACAAGACTGAGGATCATAACACTTTGTCGTTGTAACTTCTCGTCTGGATATCGAATCCTGCTCGGTCGGTTTGTCGTGTGTGTGTGTGTGTCAGAGCCTACAGGCTGCCATGCTGAAGCATTGTGTGCAATGCAATAGCATGTGATACAAGCTCCTACAGAGCATCTACAGTCTAGAGTCTAGAGTTCAGTGTGGTATGGGTGTGAGCCTTCTGCATCTACTTGACCGAGAGCTGCCATTCACTGCGCATATCAATGAACGGCTTGACCTGCGGCAGAATCAGTGGCATGCACAATCTTCAATTTGCCAAAGCCGAGTCACGCGCATCAATTTCCAGAACCGTGTGGTATGACCAATGCCACGGAAAAGATCGAAAAACCTTCAGACAGGTCGTGAGCTTGTGCCTTGACCACAGCAGCCTGCAACTTGGCCTCCCCATCCAGCAAGCGCCTGAACCAGTCAGCTAGCACATGAGCTCTGGACTTTGGACACTACTTTACATCAACATGTCCACTGAACTCTGGGTGGTGATCCTTTTGAGCCAGCTTCAGCAACAAGTTGATGTCTCTTTCTTCCAATTGACGTGGCTTGAAAAGATCGTCTGTTCCGCATCCTTTCTGCATCCCTTCCTGGGCGTCCGGACGATCGAGGCCTTGGCAGCGCGATCGCCTTGCCGTTCTGCACGCTTTCGGCGCTGCTGAGGGCCGTTTGGAGCCCAAAGATCTCCACCTCGACGCTCGGCGGTGCGGAGTGTAGAAACAACCGGGGCGGTGCACTAGGCCGGTGTATCCACTGATGACAAAGGAGCCCCTAGTAGCGTCCTTGTTCCTAGTAGCGATGCCAGGAGCCCCTAGATGCTTGGGTTTATAGAGATGATCAGTATATATCTTCTTTGCCCATGCGATTAGTAGCTGGCTTGGGGGGCGAACACGAACGATTCGGACCAGCCACAGGGGTGGCAAAAGTTGGTACGAGTTTGGCTTTTTGAAGGATACTGAGTACGCCAATGGAATCGTTGTTTGCATGCCCTACCCTGCTTTGAAACAACTCTGTCACTATGGTACAATTGTTCAAGGAAAATAATTAGGTTGGGGGATATTCCGATGTTTAACTGCCTCGAAAAGAACATGGCCCCGCCCATTGCTACTAGGGGAGGCCATCGCTACTAGGTTGGGGGCCATTGCTACTAGGTTGGTAGCTTGGGTAGTTTGGTGGCGCAGCATCGCGCCAGGTCTGAGTGGCTGGCGCGCTCGATTTCTGCAGACACAGCCACAGCCTGCAAAAGTCTAATCCCAAGCGAGAAACCCAAAGCAAACAAAGCCACTTATATAGAGAGTCTCAGATGGACGATGTTTGTTCTTTACTCCAGAATTCGGTTCCCACAAAGCTCTGATTGTTGGACAAGAAAAGCCGACCTGTACAACCAATTGATAGGCCAAACGTGAACGCCTAAGGGATTTTGCCAGTGTGTTTACTTTGCTTTCATGGAGTGTGGCCATGACATGCTTTTGCTTCTACTTACAACTAAATGACCGGAACTTCAAACATGTTGCCATGACAGCATCCAAACCGAAGCCTGCCTCAGGCAGTGCTCCAGTCTTCGTCGCTCTCAAAACGCCATCCTGGAGGCAGTTTGCCCAGAAAGCAGTCCAAAATGAATGATGGAATCAAGTGCAGAACTGGAAATTATTACAAGCCCCAATTTCGGACATCCACGGGATTATTGGTTTTTTGCTGAGGCTATCGCAATGTCTGGTATGTCGGTAGCACTTGATCTTGCGAATAGGGGTCTTGAAGCGTCTCTGCCGGCAGTCCGGCCTTGAACTCCAGCTCAATATCCAAGAAGCTTTTCCCGTCCTGTCAAGTATTCAGGACCTTTCATTGATGAACAGCTTCTGTGCACCCCACAATACAGCTTCTGTGCACAACTCATCTTCACATCATCCCAGGGCACTTGACACGATGAGGTGAGCGGGGTGGCTTGGGACGCCCTGGTGTCCAAAACCTGACACCTCTGGAGCGCCGCTTTTCGGCAGAGCTCGCGAAGCTGCAACCAACCTGGGACAAAGGAAAGGCTTGGACGGGCGCTGGTGATGTTCGCTGGTTCGGGCTCGAAGAACTAAGCCTTGTTGATGATGGCATCTCATGGCCCAGAAAACACAGATGGTATCGAGTCAGCACAAATTGGCCAACCATGCCAAAGCACGAGATTAAGCTTCTGTACTAAACAATACCAACTTGCATCCTTGAAGATGAGTCGGCAAAAAGCGTGCAGCTTGCTTTCAGTTCACTCACTGGGGCGCTAGGCTGGCCAGGCTCAGGGGTCACTTGGTCAATCATCTAGAACTTAAGACGGTCTCGGAGTCTTGATGTTATTACTGCTACTTTACAAAGCTTGGTCTAAAACGTGTGTGACAGAAGACTAACAAAAATTCTAGTTTCTGTGCAAGGCTAGGTTTGTACAGCTTCCTGCACCCCACCTTCTTTGAGGTCGGTGCCAAACACCTGCAGCACCCGCTGAGCGGCTTCCACGCCCCACGCAATGCATTCGGACTTCTTCCTGAGCAAACAACCATTCTCAAGGCTTCAAGCGGAAAAATACGAATGGACTAGCGGGCAATTACTGAATGCCAAAAACGAAACCCTTGAGATCTAGCCTCAGCAAAAACTTGAGGATACTCTGGGCGGCCGATTGTTAAAGGCTGTGAAGAACGAAATATTCTACCACCCAACAGTGAACCAAGGCAAATGACCAAATCGCGTTTCCTTGGGAACTACCTGCAGCACGTTCCCAGGTTTGAGGTCTGCTTTCTGTCCAAAGGGCTCTTGCTGCAGCCAGGCAGACAAAAAACCACCAGCGAAGAAGTCCCCCGCACCAGTGCTATCAACAACCTGACCAAACCACGCCTTTGTTACTAGTAGCTTCTTGTTACTAGTAGCGATGGCCTCCAACCTACTTGCGATGGTCTCCCCCCAATAGCGTCCTAATATTGATTTGTATTGATTTGTGTAACCTTGATTCCTACAAGTACTGTATATAAATATAAATAATATAAATGATTATGCAGCTCCAGTGACGCACAGCATCTTAGCACAAGTCAAGTATCAATGAATGGAACAAAAATAATATGTTTATTCGATCTTTCCTCTGGCCAATGTGTGCCAAAAAGAGGATTGGTCGACAACAGGCAAAGATATAAAAACCAAAGAAAAAAAGAAAAGACGCTGCCTCGTCCAGGGGATGTACGGCATGAAACTCACAGCTTCCAGCCATACAGGTCCAAAGTCCCTGAGATCCAAGTGTCAGCACCTCAGAAGCAACTCAGACGCTACTGGAGGCTCCTGGCCTTGCTACTAGGAGCAAGGGCGCTGCTTGGAGCAACCACAAAATCAAGCGAAGAAAAAAACGAACGGCACTCGGTGCCATGGTGCATCCTTAGCAGGCTGGCTCAGGGTTCAGCTTCCTAAGGTTGCACCAACGGCTGTTGCACCCCTTTCAAGAGGATGGTGTTGGACCATGTCAATCCAGATCGCCCAAGGATGAAGTCCACCGTGCCGCCGCCGAGCCACCGTGAGTTCGCAGTGCTCTCCCAACTGCCGGCACATGGTCTCGGGGTCCAAAGTGCCTTCACCCAAAGCTTCAGCCTCTGCCTCGTTGAGGAAAAGAACCTTGGTGATGCAAATGATGAGAATCAAACAACTTGCACTCAAACCTGCAAGGAGACAAGGATATATATCAGGAAAAGATCCTTGTCAGACCCGCAGGATCTTCATGTTTTTCTCAAGAAATATTTCTGTGCAAACTTTAGTAACTCTTACCTCGTCTCCCTCGTTTTGGAAGTCGCATCCCGGGGTTTAGCACCTCGCCTCGTTATATACGGTTTGGAAATGTTTGGAAAATATTGCCTCGCCTCGTTAGTTCCACCTCGTGCAGGAACTTAATTCTGAGGGGCTTGGCTTGGGTGATGACGGGTAGTAGTAGTAGTAGTAGTAGTAGTAGTAGTAGTAGTAGTAGTAGTAGTAGTAGTAGTGGTCGTGGTCGTGGTCGTGGTCGTGGTCGTGGTGGTCGTGGTGGTCGTGGTGGTCGTGGTAGTCGTGGTAGTCGTGGTGGTAGTAGTAGTAGTAGTAGTTCGTAGCACAGGACAGAATCTTTCTTTTTTTTCGGGCCTTGACTGCAAAATCACAGTTTTGGGTGGTCATGGGTTTTTTTTGAAAGGCAAAAACGCAGATTCGCAGCCCAAAGTTGTGTCTTGCCTTGGAAAGAACAAAAAGACGCTCCACGACCAGCCGAAACTGTGATTTTGCCTTTCTTTGCCCGACCGTGGTGCAGAGTTGTTCCTTTCTTCCAATCCCTCGTAGCACAGACAGAATCCTTCCCATGAGCCCCAGTAGCACAGAGCCCTTCATATTCGTGGCTTCGTAGCACAGGACAGAATCTTTTTTTTTTGCGCGTTGAAGAAGGATGACTGCAAAATCACAGTTTCGGGAGGGCCTTGAAAAAGGATGACTTGAAAATCACAGTTTCGGGTGGTCGTGAGCCTATTTCTTTGAAAGGCAAAAACGCCGTTTCGCAGCCCAAAGCTGCGTTTTGGCCTTTCAAAGAAAAACTGGAGTCCCATGACCGCCCGAACCTGTGATTTTGCCTTTCTCTGCTCGACCGTGGCGCAGAGTCCGTCCCTTCTTCCAATCCCTCGTAGCACAAAAGGCCTCGTACAGAGACCTCCTTACAAATACAAGCCCTCGTGGCACAAAATCCTTCTCAAGGGCCTTGTAGCACAGAGTCCTCCGAGCACTCCTACAAGCCCTTCAAGCAATTACACTTACAACAATGCCTTATCCATGAGGCCGCGACCAGGGCTCATAGGAAGGGTTCTGTGCTACGAGGCTCATAGGAAGGGTTCTGTGCTACGAGGCATTGGAATAAGGGAAGGACTCTGCGCCACGGTCGAGCAGAGAAAGGCAAAATCACAGTTTCAGGTGGTCGTGGTGCTTTTTCTGTTCTTTCAAAGCCAAAAACGCCGTTTCGCAGCCCAAAGCTGTGTTTTTGCCTTTCGATTGAAAAAGATCAGCCCCACGACCACCCGAAACTGTGATTTTGCCTTTCTCTGCTCGACCGTGGCGCAGAGTCCTTCCCTTCCTCGTAGCACAGACTCCTTCCTATGAGCCCTCGTAGCACAGAGCCTTCAGATTCGTGGCTTCGTGACTGTCACAGTTTCGGGAGGGCCTTGAAAAAGGATGACTGTGCAAAATCACAGTTTCGGCTGGTCGTGGAGCGTTCTTTTGTTCTTGGAAAGGCAAAAACGCAGATTCGCAGCCCAAAGCAAAGCTGTGTTTTTGCCTTTCAAAGAGCCAAAAAAATGCCCCACGACCAGCCGAAACTGTGCTTTTGCCTTTCTTTGCCCGACCGTGGCGCAGAGTTGTTCCCTTCTTCCAATCCCTCGTAGCACAGACAGAATCCTTCCTATGAGCCCTCGTAGCACAGAGCCCTTAATATTTGTGGCTTCGTAGCACAGGACAGAATCTTTCTTTTTTTTCGCGCCTTGAAGAAGGTAAGGATGACTGCAAAATCACAGTTTCGGGAAGGCTTTGAAAAAGGATGACTGCAAAAATCACAGTTTCGGGTGGTCGTGGGGCTGCTTTTTTCCTTTGAAA